ACTTTTAGTCACTTACAGTTATTTACTCACCTATTCAGTCACTTTAATTTTAAAACTGTGTAATTTTAAAACGGTGTATGTATTGTATATTCTGTGTATTTATTATCTCATTCTTATTTCCTGTTTGTGCCCTGTCCTTATCTTCAACGTCATGCTGTTGTATCTTAATTGGCCCTTGGGGATAAATAAAGGCTTTCTGATTCTGTACTGGTGTCAGTGGATGCTCTGATGGCACAAAGAGGAGCTTCATCACATCAACATCAGCAGCAGAACAGAGCGGCTCAGTCTGCGGCCTCAGCACTGATGCTAGCTGTTACCATCAGCATAATGACTGGAGTTCAAAACCAACGGGTTATTCTATTCAATTCAGATACTTTATTGTCCCACAAGTGGAAATTTGTTTAGCAGCAAGGCAAAAATAAGAGTGAACAAAACAATAACCACAACAGCAACCACTTCCACTCTAACCCTAACATAGTTCCACTGAGGCTCAGGGGTTAAAGGTCAGAGGTACCTGGGGGAACATCTGTGCCAGCCGGCCGTACTCACAGTCCGAGTACTTCATACATTGACGGTACGTCATCCCACCTGCAGGACAGAAACAGTAGAAACATGAGTCGAACCTTGGAGGTGAGAGCTGCTGGAGGATCAGACGTGGAGCGTCCGGACTTACAGAGGTCAGGAACAGCTCTAAAGGTGAACAGGTAAAAACAGGTGTGACTGTACCTCTCTCCCTGAGCGTGAGGCAGGCGTCGTCATAGCTACACTCTCGCTCTTTGGTGCAGCTGGCTGTGTAGTCCTTACAGCTGTAACAGCGGATGGCTGATCCTGAAACACACCACACATCTGGATTACAACATGTCCACTCAGGGCTCTGAAGGCCATCTGAGTGGGAACAATGATGAGGGTCCAGGTCATTAGGGTCGTCAAATAATTACAGGCTGAACAGTTTCAAATGTTTGGGAGGTAGAACGTGTGTTCCACTGAAGTCTGATATCACTGAGCATGGAAACTGTTAAATGAGCAAGAATCACAGTCAGACTTTCAGCTCTGCAGACACAGTCAGGTAATAACAGGTCATCACTGACAGAGGCTGATTATTCCCATAGAGCCCGTTCCTGTCACAGTACAGACTTCCTGTTAATGAAACATTAACTGTAGACTCTACATGGACCTGCAGCCTCCTCACACCTGACCGCAACATCTGTGGTCACATCTGCAGTTTTATCCCATCGATCAGCTGAACCCGTTAACCAGACTCAGACCGATTCACCATCAATGACTCTGACTGTATCAGAACTCGGGCTTCACGTCAGACCCCAGTTTACTCAGAACAATCAGACCCTGGATATGCATATGGTTATCCACAGTCAGAGAGCAGTGCCCTCGTTTAAAACCAACAAGAGTGTACGAATAATTGTTTCCACGTGGGACTCGAACTACAGTTTGGAAAAAGAAAAAACTTCATCTTTTCTAAAGCTTCATGAACAAAAAGCCACATTTAATCTGAAGCTCTTCTTTCCACAGCATCCACATAAATGTGCAAAACCTTATTTCTTTATAACCATTTTCAGTAGTTGTGATTTAAACCAACAGTCAGCAGCCGTACCCATCACCCGTCCCACTCACTGTGAATGCTTCCTCTTCAGCATCGTTCAGATACACAGGGACTGTGACTCATTTACACAGCAGCAAATCACAATAGCAGTCTCTTCAAGGCTCTCTCTGTTTTACAGTAAAGACCCTATGTTTATAAGTATATATGTATATGTTTAAGTATATGTATATAAAGTCTGCAGAGTCAGACGTGAGTGAATCAAACATACCCAGTCCGATCAGAGTGCAGCAGATCACCAGACAGATCCCCAGGGAGCTCTTCATTTTCACCTCTGCACAGCTCACAAACTCATCTGTCAGAATAACAGAGCAGGTCCACGGCTCATCCAGCAGCAGCACTGATGATGATCAGGAGGAGGTGTGATGACTGACTCTCATCAAGGCTGAGTGCAGCTCAGAGGCCACACCCACTGGATGGAGCCTGTGCCATCATCTTATAAACAATCACATGCATTATTTCCATGGGTCTGCGGTCTGCAGTCATCATGAACACCAGGCGTGTCCTCAGTACCAGCAGTCACAGAACCTCTCAAACGTTCGGTCCGTTTCTTTGGTGAGTTTGTTCCACTGCAATGTTCAAACTGACACGTTCAGCAGGAAGTTTACAGTCTGCAGTTTCTGTGTTCGTACAAACCAAAGAATGAAAACAGAGAGGTGAAAGCACCAAAGGATTACTGTCTCTCTGTGGGAGCTGTGGTCAGAGGTGGGCGAGGAGACGTGACTTACACCAACTTTCTGCTTGACCTTTCACATTTAACCTCGAATCAACTCAAACTGCTCGACCGTCTCCACGAAGCTTTCATGGTTCAAACCTTTAACATATATCAGGGGTGCATAATATCATATCAGGCCTCACGGAATAAAAATAATAAACTAGAACAGTTAAAATTAGAAAAAATGATCCACGATTTGGACGCAATAATGCAAGGGCTCCCTCTTTAGATAAGTACAACATTATTTGTGCATTAAAATATGAACTAAATCAAATACTAACCAGCAACATTAATAGAGCGTTCACCTTTGTAAGACAGAAGTACTTTGAATTTGGGGACAAGCCACATAAGTTGTTAGCTAGACAGCTAAAGAAGTTATGACAGAATGAGTCACAAAATTAGATCACGCAATGGAAACCTGGTCACATCACATAAAGACATTAATGATAACTTTAGGCAGTTTTATGAATCTCTGTATACTTCTCATTCCACTGCAGGGCCTAAAGATGTGCAGGACTTTTTAGATAAGTGTGACCTCCCTGTGTTAGATCAGGTGGATCGCAAGATATTGAATGCCAAGATTACAACTGAAGAAATCATTGAATCTATTGGTTTATTAAAAATGGAGTCCAGGCCCAGATGGGTTAGGGATGAATTTTACAAACAGTTCAAGATTAAACTTGTTCCATATCTACTTAAACTGTACAACCATGCATACAAAGTGGGCAATCTACCACCAACATTGAATGAAACAATTATTACAGTACTCCCAAAAAAAGGTAAAGTCTTGGAGGAAGTGGGATCATACAGACCTATTTCTTTATTAAATTCAGATCAAAAAGTCCTGGCTGAAATACTAGTGAGTAGACTCAATATGGTAATAGATAAACTGGTACATCCAGACCAAACAGGGTTCATACCAGATAGGAGTTCCTTTAATAATCTTAGGGGTCTATTTAATATAATTTACTCCTCCAAGGTGCAACAGGATCTACTTGTACTTAGCTTAGATGCCGAAAAGGCATTTGATCATGTGGAGTGGTCCTATCTCTTTGCTGTCAGAGAAATTTCAACTGGGACAAGATTTTATTTCCTGGATAAAACTACTCTACAAGAACCCCACAGCCAGAATCCTTACAAACCAAACATTATCAGTTTAAGCTCAGCAGAGGACACGTCAGGCATTCTTAGTCCTGTTCGCTCTGGAACCCCTGGCACAGTTCGTACTCACCCTGATATACATGGCTATGACACAGCATATACTCCTAATACTATATCACTCTATGCTGATGACATTTTACTATACATAACAAAACCCCAAACTTCCGTCCCAGCAGCCCTCTCCGTTATTGACAAATTTGGCACCGGTTACAAGATCAACTGGAGAAAACGTGAAGTATTGCCCATCAAATTGGAAAGCAATGAGTGGCTTGCATCTCTCCCATTTAAAATAACTTATGAAAAAAAATTACACATCTGGGCATCACAATAACAAGAAAATATAGTTCCTTAGTGAAAGAAAACTTTCTCCCTCCACTGGAGAAGCTAAAAAACAACATCCGGTATTGGAGGACACTCCCTATCTCCTTGATAGGAAGAGTGAACTCAATAAGGATGGTATTTCTGGTATGAGTATGCCTGTTACAGCTAACCCCTCTTTCCTTCCATCCTGTGCAGACGGAGCCGTCAACGTGTGGCAGGAATTGGGAATTCGTAAATTAAGACTTATATTCAAATGACACCTTCATGTCATTTCAGCAATTAATAGATAGATTTGGACTACCGCGCAGCCATTTTTTTAGATATCTTCAATGACGAAATTGAAGAGGAGTGGGAAAAGGAATTTGGGATTTCCCTATTGGAATATTTTTGGCAGGAGGTCTTACGCAACATAAATATGCTTTTTATTCATTCCCTTCACTGTTTAATTCAGTATAAAATTGTACACAGGTTACATTACTCAAGGGAAAGACAAAATGTACCCAGACTGCTCCCCCCTCTGTGAAAAACATATGACACATTATGGAAATCTGTTACACAGTTGTGCACTTTGTCCGAGGCTTCAGGGTGTTTGGTGTGACATTTTTACTTACCTGTCTAACATTTTTAAAAACAAGATTGAGCCGAATCCAACAGTAATTATCTTTGGGATCTCCAAAGAAACACAAAGTTTACAACAAAAAGGTTTATGTCATTGATCATCGCAAAGAAACTGATCCTGCAGCTTTGGAAAGGCAAAGAGGTTCCTGTGTTAAAGATGCGGCTTGCAGAACCCAGAAAGAGTCCCAGAACTCTTCACCTTGAAAAAATAAGATATACCATGAATGGCAATGTGAAAGATTTTGAACTAATCTGGCACCCTTTACTTGCATATCTTGGGAAGATATAAATTTTTGGCAGTCGGGGGATCGGGGCCCATAGAGGGTGTTTTTTGTTTGTTTTGTCTTGTTTTGTTTAGAGAAAAAGTATAGCATAAGTTATATTAATTTGTAACAAGTGTGATACTTTCTTCTAATAAAAGATATTTGAAACAAACCTTTAACATATATAATGATTGCTGTAAAACTTTAACATCAAAAACTTTTCAAGATGTTTCTGAAAAACGATCCGTTGAAATCTGATGTATGAAACTGAATATCTGAAAAACTATCAAAGATAAAAGCCTGAAACTTCACTGCTCATCAGAACAATTCAGGATCTGTGATTTGGGACGTCTCTGAGCAAAGGGCTTTGATCAGCGGTTGTTGACAATTGTTGACAATTTAGATTTTGACTGATTCTGATGAAAACTCCAGGCTGTTATTTCTAGGGTGTTTCAGATATTCTTGTGCAGACATTTTCAAACTAATGACCTGAAAGTAGGTCGATGGACTGTTTTTCAAGGACACATATCTAGAAGTATTTGATGTATGAAGCTGAAATTTCACAACACAAATTAGTTCTGTGAAAATCTTATGGAACTGCGTCAAGCCTGAAATGTTTTAAAAATGTACTGATTTCAGGAAGAATGACCACCTGCACAAACCTCAGGTCATCAGGGGAGTATTTTACAGCCTGAGCTCAGAGCTGGATGTGGAGTCTCTACAGAGTAACAGCATCTCAAAATGGCCTTAAAGCTCATGTTCTCATGTTTCTTTGACCAATCAAAACCACGGTCTGAGACACATACCAGGTAAGAGTAACTTTCATGCCCCCCCTCCCTCCCACAGGGAGAGCACAGAGAGGCCAACCCGTCATCAGTGTTTGAATGCCGCAGAAACGTTGTTTTTTTAAATAGTTCCTTTTCCTTCATCAGCTCATCAACTCTAGTAAATTGAAAACATTATGAAAGAAAGCAGCTTCACAGATGTTCAGGATCAACGCTGGTGATGCCTTTGTCTCCTCCTCAGCCTCAACGGCACACTCTAGAGCAGGGGTCCCCAATCCCAGTCCACGAGGGCCCTGCAGGTTTTAGATGTGTCCTTGATCCATCACAGCTGATTTAAATGGATAAATTACCTTCTCAACATGTCTTGAAGTTCTCCAGAGGCCTGGTAATGAGCTAATCATGTGATTCAGGTGTGTTGACCCAGGGTGAGATCTAAAACCTGCAGGACACCGGCCCTCGTGGACTGGGATTGGGGACCCCTGCTCTAGACTCTCAGTAGGAGTTAAATAAGAGTGTCGCTGCACGGCCCTGGGGCTGATGTGATGGTGGCGTTCGATGACAGTCGTTTAACTCAGAGTGGCAGAAGAAGAAAAGCTCAGTGTTGGTACTAGAACACTCCAGAAACAAACAACAAGCTTCATTGAAAGAGAAACAAAGAGGAGAGGAGGTCAGCGGGCAGCAGAGACAGAGAACAACAGCCAGTTCATGGCCTGGCCACAGCGGCTGCTTTGTTCTCCAGCATCAGGCCATCAGCCCCTCATTGAGTATTCATGTCAATCAGCTGCTCCACCCGCAGAGCAAACACACTGCTGGACAGGTCCAACAAGGTTCAAGAACACAATGGAGAAATGCACCAAGCCCCCAGTATGTCAGTCCTTCATATACGTTCAACAGACACATGTGCTCAACACTGATACCAGATATGTCCCATGATGCTTTGGGTTTTAGACCAGGTGCAGAGCTTTAGTAACACACGATCAAAAACAAGGAAAACACCATAAAAATGCAGAGTAATTGATTTCCACGTTTTTAGGGTTGTTGTTTTTGTTCTGTATAGCCAACACTAGGGATGCACCGATACCAATTCTTTCAAACCGGTACGATACCGATACTTGGATCTGAGTACTTGCCGATACAGAGTACAAAAACCGATACTTCTACCACACACACACTACACAAATGCAATAAATTGGTAGACAGGTTTTATTTTATTCTCTGCCGTTAAAAAATAAAATCTTATTAAAAATTACCACAAAAATATTTCAAGTGAAAAATAAACACTTCTGTTAAATTATTGCAGAGTCTCCACATTTTAATTTAACAAAATATCACTGAACTATTGGCACTAACTCGAGCTTTCAGAATAATAAATAAACAAACAAACAAATAAATAAATAAATACAAATTAGGTTTGAAAATAAAATAAACTTTTAAATTTTTGCAGAGTGTCCATATTGTAAACAAGCAAACAAAATAACGAAAGTATTTGGCATTGGCAAACAAACTCCTCATCTGG